TTCCTTCCTTCCTTCCTTCCTTCCTTCCTTCCTCTAAACATCATCCAATTCACCCAGAAATATCTCGAAAGGATCTACCAGTTTTGCTGCCACCAGCAAACCTTTTCCTTGCATGCAAGTTCTTTTATTTTCCCCTCTATTTTTTTTATGTCTGTCTGTCTGTCTATCTATCTGAGGTGCCTTGACTAGGTGGAAAGTGGGGAAGATCTAGAACAGCATAATCTGTTGGTTAATGTTTAAACAAGAAGTTGAATTCATTTTGGTGGGTTAAAATGAATTGTAAACAAATTATATTATTATTACAACATACCCGCAGGCTGTCAGTCCTTGCTCTCCCTGGCAAGCAAGAATTCCTAGGGTTAGACCTTCTCTCAGATCCATCCATCCTATGATGGAATGTCTAGCAGATGCTGAGAACACAGGAAGGAATAGGACCATTACAAAAAAGCTTCTGAGTCCAGGGGAAAAGGGGAGCATGAAAAAGAGACCCCGAGTCTCTTTCTTGCCTTAACTATGCTAGGTATAAGTCAAACTGAAAAACAGCTTTGGCAGCTTTTCAAGATTCTGTTACATTACCCAGGAATCATTAAGATTATCCCAGGAATCTAACTGGTTCTTGTTTCCTGAGTTTGCCAGCCTTGTGGGGCTTAACTCTTCTACTTACCATTCTCAAATCCCTCTCTCCTTTGTTTCCTCTTTTTCTGGAATATAAACTGGGAGGGAGGTGCCACACTTGAGTGACTGTTCTAATACCCAATCCTTACAGGCCCCTATAGGCTTTCTTAGAAAACAAAAATGGCAGAGGGCTGCAATCTAATGTTTTGCTTGTCCAGAAAAAGGACAATTAAGCTTTCTGAAAGAAGCAGGCCAGAGGAGTGGCAGACAACACTGTCATCATCTGTGCTTTGCAACTGGTTATGTCCACCTTGGTGGCCATTTTCTAAGAGCACCCCCAGCACCTTCTCAAAATTCCAGAAGGCCCCACCAGACCAAGAAGATCTCCTCCCATAGACTCTTTCATTTGATGCTTTGCCACAGGGAGGATTGCTCAATGTGTCCTAAGAGAGCCTCCAAGTGGTGGGGCCCATGGCAGCATGCCAGAAAGAGCTTCCCAGAATGCTTTGCCACAGTGGCATCTGCAGGGAGCGGGCAAGGGGGCAAATAAGCAAACAGAATCACGGCAAGGCCACCCAAGCTGTGCCCTTCGTGCATGTGCATTGTGATGTTGAAAACAAGTAGAGAAAGAGCAGGGTTTGCATCGTAATGGGGTGATGCATTTTAACAAAAGCGCCAAATCTTGCAGGTGCCTCAGCATTGCAACTTGCCGGGCTATCATGATAGACAACAAAAGGCTCTAATTTGCCAATATGGAAAGAATCTCTGAAGCTAGAAAGTTTAAAAACTATCCATCCAACGTTTCCACTCTTACCCACAGAACCAATTAAAAAAAAAAAATCAGTTTTGAGTGATCAATTTCTGTTTTACAAACCTCTTGCAGCAGAATTCCTACAAGTCTGTTTTATTACCTTTCAATGACATGAACATTAAATATAAGCAATTATCTCAGTCTGGTTTTGTCTCTCCCCCCCCCACTTTTCTTTTCTTTTTTCCTTTCTCTCCTTAAAGATGGGCAGGACGGCATTTCATTTAGCTGCAGAGAAGGGGCAGCTGGAGGTGGTGGAGTTTCTCCTGGACTTTGGCTCTTCTCGCAGCACCAAAGACAAGGTTTGAACAAGAGTGGGGAACTGTCCTGCCAAAGGTCTAGGAAACTTCTGGATCCTCCTTTCCAGCCTTCTTATAAACCTCTATTATGCTCTCCATAATTAATACAATTGACTGGTTTCAGATTCAGTTGTTTTCCCCCCAAACCACAAAATAAAATACTTGATGAAAGCATTTGAGATTGGGCCAACCTTATTTTAATTCAAGAGTGCGCAGGAAACCTTGTTATTCCTCTTTGACATCTCAAAAGGCTACTATTCCATTAACCATGACCATGGGTTTATTTTGTTGAAATATTTTTAAAATATTATTTATTTAGTTTTGGGGGGATGCCTTCAAGTCAGCTTTGACTCCTGGTGACTGCCTGGACAAGTCCCTACAGTTTTCTTGGCCATTGCCACCTCCTTCCTAGGGCTGAGAGAGTGACTGGCCCAAGGTCACCCAGCTGGCTTCATGCCCAAGGCAGGACTGGAACTCGTGTCTCCCAGGTTCTAGCCTGGTACCTTAACCACTACACCAAACTGGCTGTCTTGTATTTACTTACATAATTTAATATAGAAGTCAGCCAGCTCCAAATTACTTTGGGTGCCTTACACTTTAAAAGCCAGAACAATAAAACTAAGAAACTTTTGTTCATCTGTGTTAACTGCATTATGTTTTATTGAATTATAAATTTTTAGAAAAGCTATTGTTATGTTGTATACCTCCTGGAGATGCATGGTAGGATAGGGGGTAAAGAAATTGTGTAAGTAAATGAGCATAGCACTGTTTGTGGTGTTTAAAGAAGTCACATCTACAATGAAACCTTCAGGATGGCTGATTGAACTTGTGTACCAGTAGAGATAAATAAATCAAACAGTCAAACAGAGTTTGATCCAACTTCAGACTCGCATGGACTAGGAAGAGAATTATTTGGAGATTTCACCTCATCGTGAGTCATTCAGCCTCCAAATAATACAAGGCACTGCTGTAGTGGAATATAAAGATAGCCTTAATAAAAGTATTTGAGAACTGTTAAGTGAAAAATAAAAGAGAACTCAGTCCTGGGGAAAGGCATGAGAAAGAAATTCAAAATAACCCCCATCCCCATCCTTGATTCTTTCCCCATCCAGGGAAACTCTGGTAGACTTTTTTAAGATTGATGAGCCAAGACGGGAATAGATATTGCAAGGATTCCAGGAATGCTACATTATGGTTGTAGGATATAATAGCAGCAACTTAAAAGCTTGCTAGAGTTTCTCTCTACACCGTCTTATACCAAGCAGAGTCAAGGTGGAGTTATTTTGAGTTTCTCATGCTCCCTCCTTTCCCCAGAGTGACTTGTCTTTTATTTCCCCTTAACAGCTCTTGTATACTTTCACCAAGTTACTGTTACATTCCTCTACAACTGCTCACCACTGGGTCACTGTTGGATCAGTGTTTGAGCCGTTGTGGTATAGTGGTTAAGATGTTAGTTTAGGATTAGGGAGAGTCAGGTTCAGGTCTGGCCTCTGCTATGGAAAGTCAGTGGGCGGCTTGGGGCCAAAAAGGCAGGATGTAAATAATAATACGTTTGAAAGCATATTGGAAAACACAAGTCAATATCATTTTTAAATATTTCTATGAAGACTAATCCCAGATTTGGAATTACTGCATTCATTCATTCATTCATTCATTCATTCATTCATTCATTCATTCATTCATGCCCTTCTTTTCTTGGATTCATAACTCTGAATGTATGATTGCTGGAAAACCCCCTAATGCTTTGGGAAGGGCAAGGGGGTCAGATTGTGACACAGCCCTCTCCCTTTTCTATGTGCCCCACAATGCTGCACACAAGCCCCAAAGAAACGGATCTTGTGGTGCCACACTGAGATACTGCTTTCATTATTCTCACAAAAGTAGTGATATGTTGTCTGAAAGAACAGGTTATTTTTTATTTCAGTGTTTTTACCTAGAACCAAGTTTTCTCATTGCTAATCCTTGGCCCCAGATGCAGAATTTTATGGCTTGTTTTTGTGGTATTGTGCCTGCCAGAATTCATGGGGCTGGAAAGGCCTTAGAGGAATATTTCCAGCGGATCTCTCACTGGATCCCCATGAGAGCTCTTCTCTCCTTTACGTGGAATGTCACATTGGTTTGCAGGAGAAGAACACGGCTCTTCATTTGGCGGCCACGCATGGACATGTAGGCGTGTTGCAGAAACTTATAGAAGCTGGCATGGACCTGGATGACAAGAATGCAGTGAGTGAGAAAACTGCAAAAACACGTTTTTCCCCCGACAGGAAACATTGAAATTTAAGGCCAACCCCTTTTCTTGAGTTTTGGTTGTAGCCGAAGCAGGCAATATAGCATAGGTGCATGACACATTACCCTTATTTTGACCCCCTTTCCAGATTTAGTTGTCTTCCCAGATGGCAGCATCCTGAACTGCCCCAGTGCTCCTCCTGCCTTAAACCAATCCACCTATTCCATCTTCTGCATGAGCGGGCTGGTTTGCAGCTCTCATTGGTGCATGCAATGGTTAGATAGGCTACCAGGTTGTTTTTCTCTGACTGTGTGAGAACTAACCCTCACACATTAAGAGGACAACCAAGGCTTGCTTTTTCTCTCTTTTACCAGGAAGGAATGACTTCCCTGCATTTGGCAGCTGAGAGAGGACACAATGATTGCATCAAGCTACTTCTGGAAGCTGGCTGTGAGGTCAATGCCCAAACACAGGTATGGGAAGCTGATTAAAAGGAACTGGGCATGATATATAGGAGGGATATTTGTTTGTTTATCTATGTATCTGTATCATTTCCATACCCCCAACAAGACTTCTCATGGCTTAACCTAAGACCCCATAGAAATTGTCTCCTTATCCATTAAAAGTTTAGCGAACAAGACGGTTCTTCAGAGTTCTCAGAAGATTGTCAGGGAAGGTGCCATATGCATCCCTGGAGGTAGGATGTTCCATAACATGAGGGCATACACAGGGAAGCAGCATGCTGTTGCTCCTGCTTCTCTGATCTCACAAGGGAAGGCATTCTCAATATCCCTATTCTGGCTGAATTCATGGGATGGATCAGTTCTACTTGAAGTAGAAGCTCTTCAGATACCTAGGTTATGACCAGAACTTTGAATTGGAAGCCTACTGGCAATGAATGTAGCACCCACAACACTGGTGTTATACAGCACTGGTGGTTCTCATCCGCCAGCAGGTCAGCTGTTGCATTTGGTACTAATGGCAGCTTCCAGGTAATCTTCAAAGACAGTCCAGTCTGATATAGAAGGCATTGCAGTAGTCAGTGTGACGGTGATGATAGGAACCATTGCCAGGGCATCATGCTCCAGGAAGGACTACAACCAGCACACCAGCCAAAGGTAGACAAAGCTGCCCACCCCCCCAGCTGTAACTTTCACCTGCCCAACCAACAATAGTTGTAACTCTAGGAGGATCGCTTTCAGACCATTTCTTCAGGGAAAGCTTCCTTATCTAGAGTCATCACTACAGCAGACAAAGTGCCAAGTGGTTTTTGGAGAAACAGCTCCTCCATCTTTCAGGGATTAATTCTCATGTTGTTTCTTCTCCACCAGACCCTAATAGTCTCCCAGCACTGGGTCTGTACTTCCATTACTTCTCTAACCTGGCCTGGGGTGGTGTAATAGTATCATCTATATACTGATGAAACCACATCTTGGACTAATGAATAACATCTCCAGTAGTTTCATACAGATATTGAATTATAGGAGGGAGGCAAACAAACCTTGTAGCACCCTACATGGATGACATATCTTCCTCTACTACAAGAAATTGGTACCACTGTTAAGAAGGAGCAGAACCACTGCAAAATGGTCCCTCCAACTCGCAATCCTTGCAGGTTGTCCAAGAAGATACTGTGATCAATGGTACTGAAAGCTTCTGAGAGGACCTGGAGGAGTGCACTCTCCCCCATTCAGTCTCAACATAGATCATCCAACAGGGTGAACAGTATAGCTTCTGTCCCATGCCCAGGACTGAATTCTAACTAAAAAAAGATCCAGGTAATCTGTTTCCTCTAGGATGATCTATAGTTGGAACATCCCCACTCAGTGATGGAATGCCTAACAGACCTTGGGAGCATGGAGGAGTCAGAAAGGGAGGAAACAGGGCCGTTACAGAAGAAATTCTTGAGTCCATGGAAGGGAGGATGCATGAGAAAAAGACTCAGATTAACTCCACCTTAATTACAGTACAGTGTAATTTGTGTAAGAGAATTATTTTGGGAGGCTTCCAAGATACTCTTATATTACTCTACTAACAATAAAGTTTTTTCCCCAAAAATCTAAGTTTTTGTTTTCTTGAGTTTGCCAGCCTTGCTTTCTCAACAATTTTCTCTAAAAAGGGATGGTTGGAAATTGGGTGATAATTGTCCAGATTAGCTGATCCAAGGAGGGCCAGTTCAGGAAGGAGAGAACATAGGTCTAGCTTACAAGTAGAATTGCTCATACAGATCACCCTATCCACTTCCTTGGATCAAGAAGCCAAAATAAATCTTACTTGATCTAGTCACCTCCTCCAACGCTGGCCATGTAGAGTCCAGGCCAGTTTGAATTCTACTAATTTTATCCATGAAATATTGCCATAATATTTCATAGGAGGCCTCTGGAAGTTCTTCCTACTTCCACTGGGTCATTCAAAACAGGGTAGCAGGGACATGGTGCACAGATATAATCAGAATAGAAAAGTAAGACTACTGAGGCATGTTTAGGGCAACCCATGAGAAATTTGGTATAAAATGGAATAAATCACATCACCAAGCTCAGCTGATTGAATTAAGGGGGAAATTGTGTAAAAGATACCTCTCTAGTAGTCTCTGATGGATTGGGGCAACCTGAGCAAAGATTTTGGCTTCCCAATTGATTAATTACAACAATAATAACTATGGACATTTCTGCAACTCCCTTTGAAATTATGCTTCAGTAATAAACACTTGGAGGCACCAGGAATGGGGGGGCGGGGGGGGCAGCAGAGGTTGTACAGGACTGTGATACTCTGCAGAATCCTGGAGTCCGTATTCTTCAAGTTTACACCTTTTAGGGCAGACTCCATTTAATCAGATTCACAGTTCTAATAAAAAGAAGACATCAAAGTAGACCTTACGTGAGCTTGCATTGCCTGAAGGTGTCCCCCTGACTCTTTCTTTCAGAAAAAAATGACCTGCCTTCATTATGCTGCACTGAATGGCTATGTAGACATGGCCAGAACCCTTCTTGATGCAGGAATCCAGAGAGATGCTCTGAATTACGTAAGTTGACTGATTTCATCAACTGCATCCAGAACATCTTCATACCTCCAAACAGAGGGAACAGGCACATCCTCTGAGTCCAGCTGGGTTTCCTTTCTTCGTGTCATGCTCCAAGTAAAACAAAGTTAGAGATCAAAGATTCAGCCCAGGATGTGCAATTCTGCAATTCTCCCAACCCTCCTGCTCCTGTGTTTCCTGCTTGAGTAGGTAGTCCACTGCAGCTCTTTGCAGGCCTGCAAATGCGTCTTGCCTTTAGCAGGAACTTCTCCAGAGCCTGATGCCATTTCATGATGGAAGAAAGGAAAAGGCTATGAATCTCATACAAGAAATCCTACTCCTCAGTTAAGACCACAGGCGTTTAGCAGAATAATAGAGAGCAAGCATTGCATGCAAAACATCTACCTAGGTCAATTCCTGGCATATTTAGTTTACAAGGTAGTCAGGCTGGGAAAGGCCCTTCTGCCTGAGAATTAGAAGAGCTGCTGTCAGGAAAAATAGTTTTGCCCTCCACATGGGTTGGACTGCCATTCCCATAATTCCCAGCCATATGACTATTGCAGTGCTGATTTAGGATTAAGAGAGTTGCAATCTAATTTATCTGGGAGGAGGCAGCTGATTAGGAAGGTATGGATAAAGAAGGACAGGTGTCAGAAAATTGGCTATGAATTCTCCAGACTATGATCTCTGAAGAGTCTTGCAGCCCTCTGGAGGGTTCCCATCTATTCTTCCTTCCTTGGTTTGCCCAAGCTCTTGATTATTCTCTGCTCCCATCATTGCCCATTTTATTTCCCTGGTAAGGAAACTGGTAGATGGAAAACAGTGAGACTTGCAAGGTGTAAAGAAACATGGAACACGAGACCCTTGGTTAAGCTCTAGTTATCCCACTGGCTTGTGACTGAAGATACAGCATGCAAGTTGCAGGGCGCCTGAGGCCTGGTTTGCCTGTCCATGGACACCCAGAAGAGTTGACCTCATTAGCTGATACAGGTAGTCCCCAGTTTAAGAGCAAGTTCCGTCCCCAAGATCTGTCCTTAAGTCAAATTTGTACGTAAACCAGAACAATATTATTGTACAGTATAATACTATATAAGTAGTATTGCGTAATGAACTCGAACCATTGTGTATTTAACTCGAATCATTGTGTATTTAACTTGAATTTCTGTGATCCCTGAATAGTCTTGCAGCCCTCTGGAGGGTTCCCACCTGTTCTTCCTTCCTTGGTTTGCCCAAGGTCTTGATTATTCTCTGCTCCCATCATTGCCCATTTTATTTCCCTGGTAAGGAAACTGGTAGATGGAAAACAGAGAGACTTGCAAGGGGTAAGAAACATGGAACACAAGACCCTTGGTTAAGCTCTACAGTAGGTTCCGTTCTTAACTACGGGTCATCTGTAACCCATGTGTTCTTAATCCAAGGACTACTTGCATAGCCCAACAGCACATGATCTCCAGTAACTCAGTCAACCAAGGATCAGTCATTTTTTACATGTTCCCAGTCTCTGCAATGGGGGCTGGCAACATGCTACCTCCCAGTTCTTTTTTCTTTTGCCCCGTGTCAGAATTCTGATAGCTCCTACAGGGTCAATGCTATGATGAACAGAGTTGGGGGAGCTGTCTCATTCCTTCCTGCCACGTTTTTGACACAACCCCTGGTGCAGCCGTGGCATTGACAGCTGAGAACTCCAATAGCATCAGGCTTCTCCAGGCTGGTACTAGAACTGGAAGTTGCGTCAGCAGTGATCCCAGGATGCAGCTCTCAGATACATAAGGTTGTTACAAGAACAAGGAAAGCCATGAAGAAAGAAACCCAACAAATGCCAAGTATAAACTGCAAACCCTATTTATAGTAAAATCAAGATTCGGTTCCTGTTTCTGTTTCCCCCACCTGCATGGCACAACTGGCAGAAGGCCTCCTGCATTTTCTGTGGAAGCAAGGGTTGTTATTTAATGAACTAGTCTGATGTCAGACTGCTTGCTTTTGACCTTGCCAGAACCAGCTCTTGCAAATAGCAATCAAGATGGAGTTTCTACAGAAATCTTGAGTTTTGTTTTTTTTCTAGGGCTTCCCTATGACTTTATCTCTGTCTTAGGACAAGGAGAAGACCATTAACCCACCAGTAATCTGTTCAGATACACAACTGACCAGAGATCATTGTTTTAATCTGTGGGGCACTTTGGGATTAAAGCTGAGCCCTCTGAGTTAGTCACCTGGGTCCGTTCTTTCCCCATGACCCAGGAGAATGTATTGTGCAAACAAGGCCAACAAATAACCATAAATTATCTGGAATTACCCATAGAAAAGAATATCTGTAGCTCAGGGTTGACCTGTGGAGTCTTTGGGGTTCTCTGAGCTTGGTTGTTTTCTTGCAAATGTTTCGTTACCCAGCTAGGTAACATCTTCAGTGCTAGAAGTGAGGTTTGCTCTCTGTTTATGTTTACTTGCCCTGCCAGTGTTGGTGGGTTTTCTTTTTCTTGGTAGTTCCTTGATTAGGGTATTGCTTACTGCTTGATTGTACGTCTGGTGATAATCTTGGTGTTAATATCTGCTTATCTGGGCGATGATTGCTGGCGAGGAGATGTTCTGGTCTTTTGTTTCCTTTTCATTGTCTCTTTTGAATAGTGTGTAGATGTTGTTATCTCTATGTGCCTGGAGTTCCAAGGTGGGGCTTCCAATCGACAGGATGCCACTTCGAAGCCTAGATTTGCTCCCCCATTAATGCTCCTGTACAAGAGTATTAACATTGCTTCTTTCCACAGCAAAACGCATCAGCTATGCACATTGCGGTGCTACGGAACTACCCAGCCATTGTAAAAATCCTCATTGATGCCGAATGTGACCTTGATGTCCCTGATAACGTAAGCCTTTTTAACTACGGCTACCGGCATTTAAGATCTCATGAAGCTTCGCAGCAGATAGAATGCGTGCAAGCTGTTCACCTCATGGAGGGCAAACCATCCTGCACAAGGACATGCTTGGTTTAAGGAGTGGTGTGCGTGCTTGTGTGCACTCTGAAGCATCTTCTTGCCTTCAAATCCTCAGTGCTACACTGCCTTCATTTCTCTTAATTTAATTTTTTCAATTTAGTGGCTGCCCCACTCGAGAACACCTCTGGACAGCTCACAACATAACAAGCAGAATAAAATATTTATTTATTTATTTATTTATTCATTGTATATATCAAATTTATATCACCGCCCAACTCCCCCACAAGGAGGGACTCTGGGCAGTTCAC